GATAAATTGGTAAACCGGAAGTCATATTATCGGTTTTATTTCGTATATATCTCGAAAGATACCTGATGCCCCGTCAAAACTACTTGAAATTAACGAAAAACGATATGTTTTGAAACGAATTTCAACCATTTTGAACACCAAAGTTTAATGGCCCGCTGAAGATATGGTTTGCAGCGTACTCTGGTCTCATCGACTCAAAATTTATGTTCGTTGTTCGGACCCTCCAAAAACATACTTCTTTTCAAAGCATCGCAACGTTCTATACACCAAATTGAAGAAGAATTTCTTACCTTTTAGAAAATTCAGGTCGCCATATTCATTCTACATGGAGGGGATCCCCTTTTGACTAGAAAGAGGTCGGGGTCGAGATCTCGAAAAGTATCGCGAAGGCGCGAGATGTGCCAAATTTTAAAGAGATTTGGAAAAGAAATCTCTCTAAATAGGGCTTGGCGCAGATGACGGCCGATTGCCTGATGAACAGATGAGAAAAATCAATTTTGAAATGTTAATCCTTAAAGGCTCGACGGAGTTCAAAAGAAATAATCAACAAAATTCATTTAACTTGATCAATTACGTTTTTTGCCTAGATCTACTGACAACCATATGTACACTGTCGAGTGTGACACATTTGAGCAAGTAAAATCACTTGTATATATGCACAGATCCGGAGCCAGATCCAGCCCCTGTTGTTAGTAGGCTCAAAGGATATATGGTATATTTATTGAGCCTGGACAGAGGAGGTAATCTGGCAGAGGTCCGTGTATATATGCTGTATATACTGTAGTAGCAATATCGGGAGGGAGCAACTATTTTATAGGTTATTAGGTTATAGTTTGAAAAACAGCCTTTAAATCGTTTGGAACTTGAACAGCTGTGGATCACATGAGGGATTAAGATAAGTCTATAGTAAATTATGCTATCTCTCGTTGTTATGCCCCACTGCAAGGGGATTGGCAGTCATTATTCAAACTCGATTTTCCATTGCGTTTTCAGGATCATCGGTCAGGATAATAGGTTTTTGACTATTAAATAGATGGCAGCAACAGAAGAATTTTAAATAACCACAGATAGATTTCCATGCCATCTTTTTAATTATTTCTTACATTTAAAGGGACATTCCCGACAAGCCCTTCATGTAACATGTGAATGAAATAGCTATAACCATTATTATGCTATCCATATTTCACAACAGTGAGAAAATATTTGATATGGTCGAATTTGGTGAATTTAAAAGTGCAGTTCTCAGTATCATGCAGGCTCCCATCTTTGGAGATTTCACAAAGGAAGTAATGTCATCAGTAAGCCCAGTACATACACCAAGAAGGTATGTAAGAAGCAGAAAAACATTTGAGTGTTTGTCAGTTATTTAATTCTACAGTTTTCCTTCAATGTGCACGTAAGAAGATATTTGAGATACTGTACTCCGGGTTAATTTCGCGAATTTGTTAGAAAACACAATTTCGCAGCTATAAGATTTCGCTAATTTCACGAAGTACCCCTATTATTACATGTATTATGTCATCTTGGTCAACATTTTACAAAACACGAAATGCAATGAAGTCAAAGGTAATCAAAAATTTCACAAATCCCGGGAATTAAATTGACAATTTTGCGAAGATTAATTTTCATGATTTTTCAACAATCGCGAAAAGCACAAAACTAAGTCACACACAAAAAAATACCAGTAGTACAGTAATTCAATTAAATTCTAAATAGTCAATTTTACCTAACCGGAACCTTTTTTCATAATTTATGCAACATTGGTAGTAAAACTGATGAACATAGCAAAGTGAGTGATTTTATAAATTTATTGCTTTATTAAACATGTTACAGTAGATTAAAACTTTTGAACAACAAAATTGTTTTTTCTACATCTTCAGCAGAATGTTTCTAGTCAAAATATATATTTCTAGGCACTAAATCTTTTTATTGATAGGCTACACAAAAATATGTTGCATATATTCAAAGCTAGACTAACTAAATTCTCTGGTAAGCATTATTTCGTCATGTGGAAGGATGAATATTTGAGGAGTGAGGGTTTGTATATCCTCAAATTAGCTACAGTAAAACACATGTTTAAGAAAAATAAAACACATACAAAAAAACTGAAGAATTAAACTAAAATCACAGTTAAATGTAAATAATATCACAATAATCAAGAATCTTTACATCAAAAAGTCAATAATCGTTGATTTTGTGCTAATAAGTACCTATCGAGAAAATGTTTAGGTCTATCATGGGCTTTTAATTAGAGTTGAAAGCCCATGGGTCTATGTAAGTCTTAGCTGAGCATTACCGGCAGCTGAGAAGACAGTTGGGTTAACTCTGTAGCTGATTACATATGCAGCTAAGCAATTATGCAGTAATTGAAACCTGCTGCTGAGCAATTATGCAGTAATTGAAACCTGCTGCTGAGCAATTATGCAGTAATTGAAACCTGCAGCTAAGCAATTATGCAGTAATTGAAACCTGCTGCTGAGCAATTATGCAGTAATTGAAACCTGCAGCTAAGCAATTATGCAGTAATTGAAACCTGCTGCTGAGCAATTATGCAGTAATTGAAAACTGCAGCTAAGCAATTATGCAGTAATTGAAAACTGCAGCTAAGCAATTATGCAGTAATTGAAACCTGCAGCTAAGCAATTATGCAGTAATTGAAATCTGCAGCTAAGCAATTATGCAGTAATTGAAACCTGCAGCTAAGCAATTATGCAGTAATTGAAACCTGCTGCTGAGCAATTATGCAGTAATTGAAACCTGCAGCTAAGCAATTATGTAGTAATTGAAACCTGCAGCTAAGCAATTATGCAGTAATTGAAACCTGCAGCAAAGCAATTATGCAGTAATTGAAACCTGCAGCTAAGCAATTATGCAGTAATTGAAACCTGCTGCTGAGCAATTATGCAGTAATTGAAACCTGCTGCTGAGCAATTATGCAGTAATTGAAACCTGCAGCTAAGCAATTATGCAGTAATTGAAACCTGCTGCTGAGCAATTATGCAGTAATTGAAACCTGCTGCTGAGCAATTATGCAGTAATTGAAAACTGCAGCTAAGCAATTATGCAGTAATTGAAAACTGCAGCTAAGCAATTATGCAGTAATTGAAACCTGCAGCTAAGCAATTATGCAGTAATTGAAATCTGCAGCTAAGCAATTATGCAGTAATTGAAACCTGCTGCTGAGCAATTATGCAGTAATTGAAACCTGCAGCTAAGCAATTATGCAGTAATTGAAACCTGCTGCTGAGCAATTATGCAGTAATTGAAACCTGCAGCTAAGCAATTATGTAGTAATTGAAACCTGCAGCTAAGCAATTATGCAGTAATTGAAACCTGCAGCAAAGCAATTATGCAGTAACTGAAACCTGCAGCTAAGCAATTATGCAGTAATTGAAACCTGCTGCTGAGCAATTATGCAGTAATTGAAACCTGCAGCTAAGCAATTATGTAGTAATTGAAACCTGCAGCTAAGCAATTATGTAGTAATTGGAACCTGCAGCTAAGCAATTATGCAGTAATTGAAACCTGCAGCAAAGCAATTATGCAGTAATTGAAACCTGCAGCTAAGCAATTATGCAATAATTGAAACCTGCTGCTGAGCAATTGTGAAGGAGTTAAAACCGAACATAACATAACATAATTGTGCAGCTAAGCATGCCTTCAGCCAAGCAATTGTGCAGCTGCTTAAGTGTACAGCTGATCATACATGCAGTTGAGCATTTGTGCAGCTGAGCATACCTGCAGCCAAGCAATTGTGCAGCTGCTGAGCATACCTGCAGCCAAGCAATTGTGCAGCTGAGCATACCTGCAGACAAGCAATTGTGCAGCTGCTTAAGTGTACAGTTGATCATACATGCAGCTGAGCAACTTTGAATGAGCATCTCAGACTATTCTTATTTCACACTTGTTAATTTCACTTGAAATATGCATTTCAAATTTTTTCTTCACAAATAAAATTATAATTTACACTCTCTCCTTCTGGATAGAAATGTAAAACAATTTTGCTAATTTGACACAATTCCCATATTCTCAAAATCACAAATGTTAGACAAAGATCCCAATCCTGGTAATTCAACTTGTAAAAGCTCCTGTAGTCTTGCTTCAAGGCCTTCAAAAGCCCCACATGCACACCTCATTCTGGAGGTAAGTAGACACTACATCAAACCGATAATATAGCCCCCCACACGCACCTCATTCTGGAGGTAAGTAGACACTTCATCATACCCACTTCATCATACCGATAATATAGCCCCCCTCACACACCTCATTCTGGAGGTAAGGAGACACTTCATCCAATCGATTATATAGCCCCCCTCACACACCTCATTCTGGAGGTAAGAAGACACTTCATCCAATCGATAATATAGCCCCCCATACACACCTCATTCTGGAGGTAAGTAGACACTACATCCAATCGATAATATAGCCCCCCTCACACACCTCATTCTGGAGGTAAGTAGACATTTCATCATATCGATAATATAGCCCCCCACACGTACCTCATTCTGGAGGTAAGTAGACACTTCATCATACCAATAATATAGCCCCCCACACGCACCTCATTCTGGAGGTAAGTAGACACTTCATCATACCCACTTCATCATACCGATAATATAGCCCCTCTCACACACCTCATTCTGGAGGTAAGGAGACACTTCATCCAATCGATAATATAGCCCCTCTCATACACCTCAATCTGGAGGTAAGTAGACACTTCATCATACCGATAATATAGCCCCCCACACGCACCTCATTCTGGAGGTAAGTAGACACTTCATCATACCCACTTCATCATACCGATAATATAGCCCCCCTCACACACCTCATTCTGGAGGTAAGTAGACACTTCATCCAATCGATAATATAGCCCCCCATACACACCTCATTCTGGAGGTAAGTAGACACTTCATCCAATCGATAATATAGCCCCCCTCACACACCTCATTCTGGAGGTAAGTAGACACTTCATCCAATCGATAATATAGCCCCTCTCATACACCTCATTCTTGAGGTCAGTAGACACTTTATCATACCGATAATATTGCGAATATCACACTTCTTGTATGAAGAGTTCTTCCTCTTCGGAATCATCGTCATTGATGGAATGTAATAGTTTCAATGGAACGTATTGATTCTTCTTCTTTCTGACTTTTCGATTCTTCCTCTTTGGAAGGTATGGCTCTTTACTCTTTAAAATATCTGTAAAAGAAAGAAGGATACTTTTACTATGTTTTGTTTTATATTTTATCTAGAGAAAATCCAAGTTGAATAGATAAGCCATTTTTCTGGAATTTAAATAACAATATTTATGGAGGGCCAACTGCTCCTTCCATCCAGCAGCACAAAACGGTGACAATATACATAGCACCTTTTCCAAATGCAAAGATGGATATTTTACAATTTTATAAATTAACAAGACATACAGTGATAAATATTGCACTTTTATGAGCAAAATGGCTACCATGTAATTTACCCAGCATGCCCAAAACCTAGTCAGATCTTGGCACTAGTCTGCGTCTGTAAAAGTTTTGAACAGATACAAATGAGTAAGCAATTTTTCTGGAATTTTGAAGGACGAGACAATGGAGCACTTTTTCAAAGTTCAATAACAAAGATGGGTATTTTATAAATCAATCAATACAAACAATGTAGTTAGGAGTAAAAATCAATAAATACAGATAGTTAGGAATGATATCCAAATGACAATAAATCTTGTGAAATGAGATTTAATTTTTCAGATATGGCAGAGAGACTTGAATTCTGGGTAATTCTATGCATTTTATTTTTTGCAATTTTCCAAATTAAACAGCATCATATCACTTTCATTGTGATAATTTTTTCCATCATTGAAAAATTAACCCCCACATTAACAATATGACCCTCTCTAATTCCTATAAGAGAGAACTTGTCCCTGTTGTTTTTCTCAGCTAATTTGAAAGACATGACTCCCTAATTTTTTCACTGTAAGACAAACTCCATCTGTGTACAATGTACAAGGGAAAAGAACAAATTCCCAGGGATTTATCTTACATCTTAATGAAGATGTAAAATTGCACATTCTTGAAATCCGCAAATATCAAATAAAGTGAACACCAAACTGTATCAAATTAGTTGATTTCAAACATAGGATTACGCTAAGGGTTAATGTGAAAAAATCACTCCACTACAGTATACAGTTACAGTATCAGTGATCTCCCCAGGATTTTTTTTCAGGTGGATGCAAAATACTCATTTTCACAATTCAGACCAAAATTGGTCAAAATATGCCAATTTTTCAGTTTTTCTCATTTTCAAGTGGGTGCAAATGGATTTTCAGGTGGGTGTAAGCCTATTTTCAAAATCTCAGGTGGGTGCTGCACCCACTTGCTTTAATGCTGGGAAGATCACTGAGTATGCTTTACCTCTTATGTCCACTAGATCCTCTTCTTGTTTTACTGGCTCATAAAACCATCCAATATTCTTACGTTTCCACATCTTTGACCAATATACTGCAGTTGTAAGCACCCCTAATACAAGAACAAGCATACCCAGGGCCCAGACGCTGTCTTTGGATCTGAAAATGTAATAAGAAATTAACATTTGGCCTTAAAATGTAAAACAGTCGTTAATTTTTGGTAATATAATTAGATACTTCATCATTGGTATCTTAAATATCTCTCAACATACATTCATTGTCACATCAGAAACTCATAAAAAGGATGGGACTTAATATAAAAAGATTAAATTCTCAGTTGCTAAAACTGCCTGGCTTATTAGTAAATTGCATCCTGACTATGAGACCTTCCCCAGCTCCAATCTATCTAAAAAAGATACATTTCATTAAATTTCCCTTACAATTAATTCTCCTTGACTCTTGTGTATACAATCTCCCCCTTTAACCTCTTGAATCCCAGGTTCTAAAATAGGTTGAAACCAGATAATTTTTCATTTTTGCCAGCTTTTGACATTTTACTACATACATATATAACAGACGATGTTCAGTTTAATAAAATTAAATGGCAGAGATCATTCCTAGACATTTTAAAACAATTTTTGTGTAAATTGGATAAAAATTGTTCAAATAAGAGCAATTTTAGTGAAATATTTTGTGACGGATTATCTCGTCACTCTGGGTTCCAAGGTCATTTCTGAGGTGACGAGAAATCTCGTCACTCTGCGTAGTCAAGAGGTTAATATTATACACCTTACAAAACATTTATGATGCAGTTAGTCCTTACAAAAATAAATTTACACTTACCCCTTTATTAAATCACCCGGCACGTCTAATGCTTTGCTACTCCTGTTGTTATGGATACCAGAGCTTATAAGATGGCCACCAACTTTATGAGCCTTCATTTCCAAATCTGCAGCAGTAGGATTATAGTTCTTCTTTCCATCAACGGATGGAGTTGTTGTTTTGACAGGAATTTTCTGCCCAGCATCTAATGTAGTTTCTTTTTTCAGATCATTACTTACAGTCACAGGCTGTATATATTGAGCAGGGATAATTTTATCCGATATATTATTGGGTTTCTTTATTGATTGGTCTCCCTGACCTTTATTGTGGAATGTGGCTTCTTCTTTAACGCCAGTAACAGCTGTAGATATTGTAGATTTAACTGTTGAACTTGGTGGTATATCTAAAGATGGCAACAATTGTGTGGAAGTTTTATACATTAAAAGTACTGGCTTTTTAGTTGCTGAGTCAATTGGGTTTTTCTGTTCAGGCTCCTTATTCATTGGTTCTTTATCTGATATGGCTTCATTAATTAGAGATCCTTTGTTTAATAAGGGCGGCCTTTGATTTGTTATTGCCTGTGTTGTAGTCTCTTTTAGTGGAAGTTTAAGGTTTTGCTTCTTTAATCCCTTTTGTTGTTTTGGTTCCTTAAGTAAGGTTTCTGTCTCTATGTGTAAAGTAGTTTGAGTCTGCGCAGGTGTTATAGTAGATGGAGTAGGTTGCATAAGAGGTGGTTGAACTGTAACAGCAGCTGCGTTCACATCTGTATCAGCAGATGTTTTATTGTTGGGGATTTTCGGAGAGGATTCCCCTTCTTTTTTTATCTTACCCACTTTCACTAAGTTCTCAGAATTATTAAACTGTGGAGATGGCACTTGTATTGATAACTGTGGAGTTGAACCATTTTGAGATTCTACGCTTGGAGTTTTAAGTAATGTATCTGTCAACTTTTTATTGTTGTTATTGCTTTTCCGCTTCAATCGTCTACGTGGAATTTTTGCTATTGCATGTAATATAGGATTTCTCTGTTTTCTAACTGTATTGTAGTATCTTCCGTGGTTGGTCATGTCTTTTTGATGTAAATTTGTAGTCCTAGCACCATTTCTGTGAACATCAGTTGGAATGGTTAATGTGTTTTTAATCAACATATTTGTTTCGTATTTTTTCAATAGGTAATTCAGTTCATACCCTTGATGACCTATATCGAGAAGTTTATCTCCTAACTTTTTTTTCTTGACATGAAATCTTTTTATAAAGCTTTCAAATGGTAGGTTTAGGTGTTGTCTCTGTCTCGCATCCTGGTTTGAGATGTGATCTATGTCCATCTGTAAAACAAGAAATGTATAATTGAGTACTGATGCTATTGAAGGACTGAACATCAAACTGCCGAAGTACATGTATACTTCTGTGAACTCAATATCCAGCTGACCAATAAATGGCCTCACTTGCGGATCCAGGAAGCCCAGGCCTCCCCCCTTTTGTGGGGCCCCCAAAAGTTTTTGAACCCCAAAATTTTGTAGGGCCTCAAAAAATAGGTATTTTGGGGCATAAACCCAGAGATTTCAAATCACATTTAGTTATGGGGTTAGATCTACCTAAACTTGAATAATTGACAGATCAAATTTCATCTGACCTTGAGGTAATAACTTGGTTCATATCTTAGCCATAGAACAAGGACAGTCTCGTTGACTGGCTTGTTGGAATAACTTTTCAGTCCCGAGTCTACAACATAGTGTAATGAACTTCGATAGCAAGTCGCTACTACAGTTTCAGCAGTAGTGGCTACTGGCTCAGGGGTAGAGGGTCTGACTCGAGAGCGGAAGGTCCTAGATTCGAATCCTGTTTGAGACACTGAATTTAGCACACTCTCTTTCGAGTCTAGTATCTAGCTCACTACAGCTCCCCGACGGACGTGCACAAGGGTCGTTACAATAGATTAGGATTTGCCATTAAATTCTGGATATATAGTATTTTATTATCACCAGGGTGTATGTATTCATAATATGCAATTTTATTTTCGAAGATCAAGATTCATCTGTGTTTTCTTCATGCGAGTTTTATCTAAGATATGTTGCAGACTGTGGATGGATTTTGATTTCAAGATTTGTTTGAAAAAAGTAAATAAGAAAAATTTACATCAACTGAATTTGGCCAAGTTTAGTTGTAAAACAAAGCTATATACCTGACAAATAAATACACATACCTTGGTTTTACCATTGAACATCGTATTTTCATTATTTGTTGTCGAAGAACTGACCATTTTGATAGAAAATAGAAACACTTGGAAAATAAAATACTTTGCCATGTTGACATAAGTGACGCGCCGCAAAAGAGATTTCAGATCAATTATGTTTTTATTTAAAATGTATAGTGCCTAATTGAATATTTGATATGTTTGTTCATTTATGCTGGATTATTCAGTTTTATGAAGTTATGTAGTTCCGTGCCCATGCAAAACTCAAAAATCAGAGTTCTAAAGTGAATGTGTATCCTATATGTGGGGTGTCATTTGAAGAGCTATATCCGGTTTGTAAAATTTCAAGTTTCACATCTCGAATTTTATTCTTTTTTTTGCTTATAGTCTCATCAATAACTTCAGAATGGGGAAGAAACAACATCAAAGTGATAAAATGTAAGTATATTGTTGATTTTGATCTTAGCAATTTATACTGAATGCAACATATCTCCGGATATAGGGTTGTTTTTGCTTGACTACTCTTCTCTACTCAATCAGAAGAATTTACTTCGGTCCAAAGCCTTCTCTATATTCCGGCTTTGAGGAGGAAGATTGAGCTGCCTTAGTATTATAAATATTGTAAATCATTGTGTCACACGCACAGTAAATATGGCATAATAATATGAAATATACCTTTATGTATAGATTTGAAGAACATCAGCTCACATCCCCGTCTGAATCTATTGTTATATTTGATTTCTTTAAGCGAGAATAATTTCAAATGTTATTCACGTCCAGAACCGGAAGCCATTTTTAGCTACAGCGAGAAAATTTCACCATGTGTCAAAACTCCGAAATGAAATTTTGAAATATCTAAATCCAGACAAGCAACGCTTCATCCTAAATATGATTAATATTCTTAAAAATATTTATAAAATTTATTAAAAATGAGTTCTAGGTGCGTGTAGGTGCGTGTAGCACAGTACATACGAAATCAATGAAGTTTCGTCTAGCTGTAAGCTAGAGACTCGAGTAAAGAAGAATGATCACCTGTCCAGGCTCGGAGGCATACGCAGGCCTGTCAACTTGGGAACACCTAACATGAGTGACTTGGAAATGTTGAACACCTCCCCTCAAAATGTGGACACCTTGGTCCAAATCTGAACACCTTGATCCAAATTTTGAACACCTTGTTTTAAATTTTATTACATCTTCCCAAATTTTGAACACCTCAAATTTTTCGCGCTCGCTACGCTCGCATTTCAAACATCCATCAAGGGGGGGTAGGTACGAAAAATTTCGAACGGAATGCGTGACATATACATAATTCGCGTGAAAAGTCCGAACGAAATGCGTACTTTTTTTGCGGCGTTCGTATTTTTGCTGTGTAGATGAACTTTTTTAGAAATTTTTCTACAGAAATATTTTTGCTTGACATTTACCAGGTAAAATGCGTATTTGCGTGACATTTTCTGTCAGGCAAAAATAACTGGCGTGACTTCAAATTCGCAAATTGAGGGACAGTTGACAGGCCTGCATACGTGGTAAAGGGGGGGGGGTAATTTTGCTGTGTTATGTAATGTCGAAAAGAGAAATAAGACTTCAACCTACTAGCAAAAATAGTTTTTCTGTAGAAAATTTTTCAAAATATGTTTACGATACGGTAAAAACACGAACGTCGGAAAAAAACCGAACGCAATTTGTTCGGATTTGTCACACGAATCCCGTATATGCCACGCATGTTAATTGGAAATTTTCGTACCTCCCCCCCCCCCCCCCCCCCCCCGTTGATGACACCGCGAGCGCAGCGATCGCTAAAAATTTGAGGTGATCAACGTTTGGCAAAGGTGCTCAACCTTTGGCCAAATGTGTTTAAAAGTTGGCCAAAGGTGTTCAAAATTTGGACAAAAGTGTTCAGATTTGGACTTAGGTGTCCAACATTTGTAAGTCACTCATATTAGGTGGTCCCAAGTTGACAGCCCTGAGATACATCTCATCTAGGCCTACCCCTATAAATTTGTGCTTGGTTTGCGTTTTTTTAACTTCTGACATTTGATGAGGCAAATTCAAATAAAAAACCACCAATTTGACCCCACAGATGGCTGTCAATCTCTCTCTCTTGAACTGACCTGTAGTAGTTTCATATGTTATAATGTGTTGGGGTTAGCTATTCCAGGTTTTAGCTTTTTGAACTTATCTGTTTCTGAAAACATTCTTATGTAGTTTGACTCTGTCTGTGGTGAAGCTTTTTCATGTGGCATTGTGACCTCTTGTACAGGTATCTCAGTGGATTTCTTTGAAATACTGTTTATTTTTTACATATCAAGTCCCTTGGTTATTTTAACATCTGAGAATGTTGAAATAGAAATTTGTGAGATTCAACCATTAACAGGTCCTATTATTGGCTTGTGCTGAGGCAAGAGCCATATCTCACTTGGATATAGTAGTAAGTGATAACGACTATGGACTGAGGTTTAAACGTTAGTTTACTAGTAGAAAACCTGATGGGTTAATATTTGTTGATGAAAATGAGTTAATTCCTCGAGCAAAAGTTTAACCCTAAGGTGTTAGTTTATTATAAAATTGCGTTAGAGAGGTTTTCAAACGGCAATATACACATTTTACAACAACACCATGAATTTTGCGCACTGATTTTCGGCAACATGATACGACAGAAATACGAGCGACTTCTTGATTTAGAATTGTGAACATTTTACAGCATTAAAAAAACTCCGAACATTTAACTATTATATTAATATCTTCGGAGAACGAGAATCAAATTGACCCATCTTCACTTTTAGATATGCTCGGATGTTTTCTAAGAGGTCCAGGTACCCAGACCTTCACAATTTAAAGATCTTAATCAGTTCAAAATGTTCGGATTTTTTCTACTTTTGCTACTTTTTTCTACGTTCGGTAAATTACAACCGCGTTAAAAGTAAGGATCCCTATTTATCAATACAATTCATTAAAACACTGCAAACATCTCCTTCACACGAGCCTTCATTTTTTTTAAATGATCTCTTGTTTCAATTTTATGAGATATGATGCCCCTTAAGGCCAGAGTGCACTTTGGAATTTTTTTGCAATTTTGAAAAGTAAACCACTGAATATTCTAGTTATCCAAACATTCTGAAAAATATCAACCCTCAATTAATAGTCTAGGTACACTAATGCATCTTTTGTGCAAGAATGAAAGATATAGATGATGTGTGGAATGAGTTATGTTTACTGTAAAACGGATAATTTTGACACCGGGAAATTTTAGCGATTTTTCAATTTTAGGGGGTTTTAGCACGGGAAATTTTAGCGAAATGAAGATTAATCTTTAAAAAATCAAATTAAGCCCGGTATACCAATGGGGCAAAATCCCACTTGCCCCATCGAGTCCCATCTTGCCCCATCGAATCCCAATCTACCCCATCGAATCCCACGAAGTCCCATTGGACCTTGATGACTTTGCCCCATCGTGCCCCATGGAGTCCCATCAAGCCCCATGGAGTCCCATCAAATCCCACCGTGCCCCATTGGTGTATGCCGGGCTTCGCACAACACGTCATATGACCGAAAATCCTACGATGCCCCATGGAAAGAATGAACATGTTCATTCTCGATGGGACTCCATGGGACTCCGTGGGATTTTGCCCCATCTTGCCCCATCGAGTCCCACCGAGTCCCACGTGGGACTTCATGGGACCTCATGGGACCTCGTGGGACTCGATGGGGCAAGATGGGGCAAAATCCCAAGAAGTCCCATGGAGTCCCACGGACTTCATGGGGCAAAATCCCAAAAGGTCCCACGAGGTCCCATGCAATGTTAAGTCTATGGAGGTCCCAACTTGCCCCATTGGTGTATACCGGGCTTTAGCGAAATGCATTAGAAATTTTATCATTTATGGCAGAAGAATGAATAACGGACATGACAGATGAATTATCAAAATGTAAGACTTCTAACGCACATGGTATTGGTCCAAACTACTGTAATCTCATGGATGGCTATTTATCCTTCAGATATTGAAAGAAGCATACGATTTAAAAATATTTACCTCTTTCAAATTACAAACCAGAAGTCGAGCACTGAACGAAAAGCTCCTTAAATACTAGTATTCATGTAGTTTCCCGGGAATTTGCAAATTTTATCGCCCGGTTTATTTTAACCCCTGTTTATTTTAGCGAATTGACTTTTTAGCGAAACTATAGCGATCGCTAACAATCGCTAACAATTACCCCTCGCTAACAATACCCGTTTTACAGTATCTGAAAATAGCACATGGTCGTGAAATTTCATCAAAGTGCACCCTGACCTTAAAGCTCCACATCGCTTTAGAACACAATCTTGGGTTATTCCAGGGCCAACTGTAAGATTTTGAGCTTTTATGAAAGTATGTACAATGGTGAACAAATGGGGCAAATCTGGTGTAAAAATACTCAGAATAAATGTGTAAGGTTTCTAAATTTAGAACGTGATGTCACTATTGAATTAGAACGTTCAATATTAGTAGCGTTAAATTACTCTTGAATTCATAGTTGGATGGTGGTCTTGTGGTAGAATGCTCAACGCGCATGCAGACGGCAGTGGTTAGAACCCCACCCGCAGATTGATTTTTGATTTTTGACTACTGTACTATATACATGTACATGATTGTCCTTTGATATTACACAGAAAAACAGTTTTTAATCATGTCAACATTACACTAGAGTTTTAGTAATCTTGTTGGCTGTATGGAAATATGAAAATAAAGTCGACATATTGCGTTTTAGAGCAATGTGCAGGTTTAACAAGCATTGGCGTGTGAAATTTGTGCAATCTTACCATATGCATGTACATGTAAAATTGTATGACAGCCCTATTATTTCAGGTATCTTACAGCCACAGAGTGGGCTACCTTCTATGGTGGAAAGAAGGCGAAAGCTCCTGATAAGGCAAAGTTTAGGAGACTGCCATTCAGCTGCTGCAGGTATTGGCCCTGAGTTGTACCATATTAATTATAGCTTTAAGGCCCATTTAAAGATGGCAGTGGTGTAGTTCGTATGAAGATGAATAAACAGGCTGATTTTGATGCCATCTTTTGTGAATATTATTTTTATCATCCGTGTTTGTTGATCTCTATCATCATTCAATAAATAATTTATAGTTAGTGAAACATGTTTAAAAAACAGATAGAAAAGGATCATCGTACGGCCAAACAATTCTTCAGCATTCCAATAAGTCTATTAAGGCCCCATGTTGAAATGTCCTTTTAAAATGAATATGTAAAAGAGCTTCATCAATATTGTGTATCTTATTTTGTAGTTTGTCCCTTCAACCCTTTGAACATCCACTATGTACAAAAGAGGGCGTGATCTTTGACTTAATGTAAGTATTAATAAATATTATGTAAAAATAGATTGTTGAGGTCCTGATGAAAGTGAATGATTGAATAAAACATGACATTTATAACTACTAAGAAAACTTAATGTGTCACACTATATTTGAGCTGGATGAAGGATGAATTGGCAGAAGAAAATCAATTTAGAATTCCCATTGAAATATATATGGGCCAATGTTTACAATATACTTCATACTTTTATTTGAGCTGCTATTAAATTATCCAAGTTTAAAATGTAGAATTTGTCAATTATCTGCAAAACCACCCATCAATCAATCCATTTAAGCATTTATATCTAAATCCATTTAAGCATTTTCATATCAATTCATTAAGCATTTACATATCAATCTATTTAAGCATTTTCATATAAATCCATTTTAGCATTTTCATATCAATCCATTTAAGCATTTACATATCAATCCATTTGAGCATTTTCATATCAATCTATTAAGCATTCACATATAAATCCATTTAAGCATTTACATATCAATCCATTTACGCATTTTCATATCAATCCATAAAGCATTTACATATCAATCCATTTAAGCATTTACATATTATTTTTGCTTGTAGGAACATTGTGCCATTCCTGAAAAAATATGGTGTAAGCCCTGTGACTGGTAAGGTAAGAGTACTTTCTTCCTTTTCAAGCCGAGTGCAGCATATGCACTCTGGATAATGGGTAGATTTTCATTGAGTGATGTAGGATCTGAAAATGGGCAAGAATTCGAGCCAAAGTGGTGCATAATTAATTTTTTAAAGAGTTCAGTTTTATTTGAAAAGAATGTTTCATGTCACTACCAGAAAGGCTGACACATTTTTATAGTCTTGACCTCTTTTGTGAATGGTGGTTGGTGTTTGGTGTTCAGCGCCTGTAACAAATGGCAGGTGGTGATATTTTGCATGTTAATGTTTTGTTATGGATCTGCAAGATTTTGGAGATGCGTAGGCATCAATCTGCTAAGTTGTTTAAGGTATGTGTTTGCATAAATGCCAAAAGAAAAACACAAGGAGTATTTTTAGCTTTTTAGTTTAAAATTGTTTTTCTATTGTTTCACAGTTATGTATGTACTATGTTTATTGTCTATTTTACAGCCAATGTCTGCTAAAGAGCTTGTAAAACTGCATTTCCATAAAAATTCCCAAGGTAATTAAATGAGTAAAAGTTTGTAATTATCTAGATGTAAATTGTATAAATCTAAATCATCTCAACCTAACCTAAATCTCTTATGTAATTTAAGATACAAATGAAGTTTTTGATTTTGTACTAGGCCTATTTAATGGAAAGATCTTTTGAAAAATTATTTTCAGATAAATATCACTGCCCTGTGACGTTTAAGCAGTTCAATGAAAATACACACATTGTGGCAATCAAAACAACGGGGAATGTGTTTGCTTATGACGTGAGTACACAGTCTTTAATGTTTAATAAACATTTAACAATATTTAAAAGCTTTAATTAGCTTCTTATTGTTTTATGGTGAAGACCACTTACATTTTTAAGAATCACTAAAAACAGGTACCCTCTGTACACTTACTTTTAATGAATCAATAATTTATGAAAAAATTGGACTGGAATAAAGTTTAAAAATGATATGAAAATAAATATAAAAAAGATTTGGTTAGTTGCACTCATATTCTTGCCCACATTTTTTGTAGGCAGTAGACAGACTGAACTATAAGACAAAGAATTTCCGGGATTTGCTGACGGATGAAGCTTTCACAAAGGCAGATGTCATTACAATTCAAGTAAGTCGAGATCTGTAGTATATTTATAAATGTCAAAAAATGAATTAACGGTAAAAGTGTTTAACAAGTATAAATAGGACTCTTATATAGAAACTATTGAAAATCATGTTGCTCATAAGTTTTAGTAATTCTTATACTGTACATCCGGTATTGAGTCTGCAGAAAATCCTTAAAATCCCAAAAAGGTCTGTTGCCAATTGTACAAAAAATATTTCCATTTTATATTGCCTGTAAATTAAGCATCTATGAGTGAACAGTGAATTTGGTTGTCTGAGAAACATAGCTTGATTCATTTTTTGATTTAGGACCCCACAAACTTGGACAAATTCAACCTCGCAAACTTCTATCATGTAAAAAACAACCTAAAAGTTCCCGATGAGGAGGAAGAGGATTTGAAGAGCTCCAAAAGGAATCTTAAATCTATTAATCGTGAAACGATGGATATCCTAGATGAGCTAGACAGGGAATATAAGCCTCAAGAGAAACAATCGGAGACAAAGAAAAGAGCAGATAAGTTTAATGCGGTAAGTCTTACAACAGGATGTTGTCTCAAGTCCTGTAGGGCCTTCTATGGTGTTCTTTGGGAGTCATTTTATACAGTAATTTATTTTTACTTTTTTTTTTTATTTCAAAGAAAAAACATGTTAAAGCAATTGCAAAAAAAAACAATTACAATATGTTACATACTCTCAAGGACTTCAACCCAAAGATCACTGGAAAGTAGTTGGGTTCAAAAGTTGAATTGCTTTATAATCATAACCCAAAATCTGAGTTTCTTGTTATTTGATGTTGTGAAAACTGTAAAGTCGGACACTTCTAGAAGTTAAGCAAGTACTTTTCAGAGTCCCAAGACCAACTGGTTTAATGTTAAATGAACCATTGTCTATAAGAGGAACACCTCCAAAGTGGAACTTTTTAGAGGTGCCACTTAGACAGATTCCACTGTAATAAACTTTTGCGGATTCAAAAAAACTTAAATCCCTCAAACCTTGTATGCGTAGTTACATCATCTTATATCATTACATATCAAGTAATTTTAATATGATGGTAATATTCAAAAAAATGTAAATCCCTCAAACCTTGTATGCGCAGTTACATCATCCTTTATCCTTACATATCAAGTAATTTTAATATGATGGTAATATTTCAGGCTCATTTCTCGACTGGTGCGGTTGCAGCTTCCTTCACGTCAACTGCGGTCAATCCTGAGACACAGCATGAGTCGGGTAGGTGTGGGCTTTAAGTAATTGAAAGAACAATTTGCATTTAGCATCTGTAACAATGTGCAATAACTTACAAAGTGGTGACATTTTCACACATAGCTAGGCAAGGTGTGTCCGATTCCAGCCAATCTGACCACAGTATTTCATATAACTGTTGTGCATTATATCACCAATCACCGTATTCAAGGTCGCTTGTTAAACAGTTGTCAAGGGAACAATTTTACTCTCCAGATTGAAATTGATACTTTGTTAACTTGACCATTACAAAAGGTTTCATTGAAAATATGTTCTTTAAGTGATTTTGTATCTTTTGCCCTCATGCAAAAGATTTGGAAACATCACCTTCAATGGAATGATTCAGCACACAATGCTCTGAGTCCAGGGCTTAAATCCTTAATTGACATGTTAATGCCTTGTTACTAGGGGTGAGACGACAACCCGATGAGTCGAGGACTCGCGGGTTTGGGGCTTCGAGTCGAATCGAATCGAGTCGAATTTGATGAATCGAATCATTTTCGAGTTGAGAAAAAAATTCGAAAAAATAAAAAAATTCAGAAAAATACTGTCAATATGCATGTTTTTACTCGATATTGAGTTGAATATATAAGTTTCAATGACTTGGATATGCTTGTATTAAATTATTATATTGTATGTACACATAAATGAAAGAATATATGTAATAAAATCAGAATAAACTTACGACGAATTGTGTTTGTTTATATTTCCGGCTTTCCACCATTGACGCATTAAAAATACGAACGGTCAAAAGCGATGTTGTTCGCACTTTATCTGACTCGAAACGGATTCGAAACTCGAATCGTCATTTTCTGACTCGAATCGGATTCGACTCGAATCGGATTTTTTCGACTCGTCTCACCCCTACTTGTTACAAATCTGTTATTTCATTATATTTACATTTATCTGTTTGCTTGGTTTGCGTATATACACTCCATTTATGATTATCTTTCAAAATTTTGTTTTCCAGCAATAATTGACGAGGATGTTGTAAGATATAAGTATGTCAAAAAGAAGGCGTATGTTCGAATAATCACAAACAAAGGAATGCTGAATGTTGAATTACACTCTGATATGGTAAGTAGATGATGTCATAATGATATCCTTATAAGGTCATGAGTAACATGATGGATTTACACAGGGAGATATGTTGAGTACTCAATTGGTACTAATGGCTTTTTAGCACTAATTGAGTACTCATATCTGTGAATATTAGTACTTAATGAGTGCTCATACTATGAGTTTTTAGTACTAAATGGTGTGGTACTTTATTATCAAGATGAGTACTGATTCATTACATATTTCAGTACTTAATGAGTACACATATCATGAGTGATGAAATAGTTCTCATCCCTTTTATATTTCAGAACTAAATGAGTACTCATGTAGTACTAAATTAGCGCTGTTGCAATTGGAGTAATGGACGCTCCTAAACTCATGTTATGAATACTCAATTAGTACTCATTTTGTACCAATTGAGTAATCAGCATATCGGCCGGACATCGGAAGGAATACGGCCGGTACCCGAGCAGGTAACAGGACACCGTGCGATCGCCGGCCAGGTTGTTAACGGGCTTTGAACAGTGACCGGCCGATGCTCTGTCCCACATCGGCCGGAGCTCGGTCGGAGCTCGGCCGCTGTCCGTTAAAAAAACTCGTCCTCTGGTTGTCTCAGATGCACTGGACACCGGCCGATACTCGGCCGTGCACCGGCCGATGTGTTTTCCGATGTGGTTAAGATGGTGCTGCGATGACATGATGAGGGAGCTCGGTGAGAGCCCGGTGAAATTTTAACTTCTGAGTTAAATTTCACCGGGCTACCACCGATGCGGTTTTAAGCAACAAACGCCACGGATGTCCGGCTGGTGTTCGGCCGAGTTCGGTGAAAATTGCATCGCTGGCTCATCGTAACCTCATCGGCCGGGCTATGTGACTAGTCCCAGAGAGTGATATTTTTTATCATTTTAGGCTTTTTTTGGAAGAAATTATATTGTTTTACCATAAAAATGCTGATCACATTCGCAGCAGATACTTTATATTAGATTTTAATTGACGTTTTTAGTTCTGAGTATGATCTTGAAACGTGAAACTAAAATTGAAAGAGCCATCATCATACCCTTGCATCATTTTCTTTAATGTTCCGTCCTGTCCCGAAAGTACCGTGTCCCGAGACCATTTGTACCGTTCTGTACCGTACTGAAATTTTTTGGACCATGACACCTCTAGTATTTATAGACCTTATAGAATGTAGCCAAGTCTCAACTACATATAGTTAGTTTTTATGGTTCCTTTATTTAAGCAATATTAATATACAGCATAAACAGGGCCTAAGCCAAAGCATTATTGGACCATGACACCTCTAGTATTTATAGACCTTATTGCAAATATGCAAAGTGGTTGCATCTTGTAGATATTACCACTTGGCAACATGGAAGAACATGGCATGTTGGGACCCGGTGGCCATAAATGCTGAGTTTATGACTTTTGAACATTTTTTATTGTAGTCATTAAAAAAATATGTTTTTTTATTCCTTAAAGGCCCCATATAAAGTTTAAACCACTTTGGCTTATATATATATATATACTTATATATTGGGTAGTCTTACCCAATGTTATCAAAGTGTGATATGTGAAACTTTTTTTTTAAATTTCAAAAAGTGGTTTTTGATAGACTTTTTGTTCCAAAATTTGTGAATTTATTTAAAACCAACTTTTAAAGGTCACTCATATCTTTTAATTAGCTACAATTCATACTAATGCATAGCATTCATCCTCCCGTGTTTTTTGCCGAAAAAATTAAGAAAATCGGCACATGAATAAGCGAGAAATGAACTTAGCAGTGCATGAAAATGGTTCTGAGAAAAATGCATTTCAAAATTTTAGTTCTCATAGAAACCAATGGTACAATGATATCTAAAACATAATTTATTCTTCCTTTTAACCTGGTTAGGCAATCAACATTGGTTTTTTATGAAAGTCTAACATATTTAGAAAAGATTGACATCGAAAAAAAAATTTCAATTTTTTTCAAAAAGTTTTTGGTACCTTAGTGACATCACTAATGTTTCAAAATATTTTTGATATACTAAAACTTTGAAGTGGCCCCTTAAATATGGCATTTTATTATTGAAATAGTGTGTCCTTTGTTCAACCTTTGCATTGGTGTTAAAAATATAATCTTTTTTGAAATGCATTAAGAAATATTTGATGATTAAGAAATTTCAACTTTTTTTGAAAAATGGCGGGAAATTTGAATATTTGAGAAATGAAATGCTCACAACTTTTTTTTCAAAATTTTTTTTTTGTTCAAAAATCTCTAAAATCACTTTTTAAGTCCTGACAAACAGTAAATGAATGATAAAAAAATATTTTCAAACTTTAGACGGGGACTTTAAACAATACCATACCCATATAAATTTCTTTGTAATACTATTCCTGTATTGATTCACATTTATTTGATCTTGATTGCTATGCCCTTATAACTATTGAATATAAGATACATGTACAGAAGAGTATACTCTTTCTCATCTGAATGCAATTTGGACCAGCTAAAAGCATTCGGATAAGGAGGTGTTTGGATTTCAAGGTTTTTGCATCCAGAAGATTCTGGATTTTGAAGAAATATAAGTGCATTCTCAATATGAATTTCTATTGACCACATAGCCCATTCCAAAATCTGATTCAAATGAATTAAGTCATGCTAGAAAGGCTCATTATGATTGAGGCCTGATTGGATATTTTTTTCAAAAGTTTTGATATCTTAAGGTTATTCTTTCCAAACAACATTTTTGAAAAAATGCTATACCTGCCCATGTTATTTTCTGGTACAAAATAAAGTATGAAGGCATGTGTGTATTTCCTTGCTTTTTTCAGGAAAGTATCATTACATTGTCTTCTCTAAGTAAACCTAGTAATTGGTCATTGGAATTCCAGTGTTATGGAGAAACTTGAAGAAGAAGTTTGGAAATTTGAAAAGGTGGCCATTTTGAATGATTTTTCTTGAAATATCAGCATTTCCTGGAGTTGTCATTGACCTGTTACCAGGTTTACCAAAAGAATACATTGCAAGGACACTTTTCTGAAAAAGCAATGAAATACACACATGCCTTCATACTTTATTTTGTACCAAAAAATAACATGCGCAGGTATAGGAATTTTTTCAAAATTGTTGTTTGGAAAGAATAATAATCAAGAGCTACACAAAGTGCTCGAATCTGGATGCAATCAATGAGTGAGTACCTGTAATTTACAAAGTTATCCGAATGTAACTTTGTTACCATGGAATGGAAAAAAAGTGTTCAGATTGGAAAGTGTTTTGAATTAACTCGGTGTTTTGATATACAGGTTTCACTGCAATTTTATACAATTAATATTTTTTTATATAATTAACATGGGCGTCAATGGGAGGGAAAAATAGGATGGAATTAAGTGCTCAGATTGAAACTAGTGTTTTGAATTAACATATAATTTTATATTTTTTTGTACTTATATTTTTTTAATATGTGGAATTGCATTTGGTCCATTGATTACTTTCCAAAGCAAAAAACCATCTCTCAATAACTTTGCCTTTCTCACTATAAATCTTTTCCTAAATTCATTATATTTTGAACCTCTTTCCAATCACAATTGTTGTCATCATCAATAAACCAATGGTGAAATTTTTTCGCTCTTGATATTTTTGCTTCTTTCCCTATAACCCAGTTGTTATTTAAAACTAATGGTATTGACCTATTACCTGTTTCGTTATACCACTGACCATCAGCCACTATGTTAAGGTCTAAGATTGTATAATTCAGTCTTGCACTTCCGTTTTCATATTTGAGATTTTCGTTTAAAAGTGTTTGGTCATTAACCGCTTGCGGTAATTTTTCATTACGGCGGTAGGACCTATATTTATCCAGATATTTCTGTAGCGCATTTGTTACTCTCATAAATACATCTATTGTATCTTTGATGGGTTTCATGTATAGGAAGCCTCCAGCCATTTTTTCTTTGGTTGCGATTTTCGCTCCGACTAGATCATACTGAGATATACTATGAATAAGTGGAAACGGGGATGCAAACCAAACAGCGTCAACTTCAAACAAAAACAATGGTACGTTGAATGCTAACAAAGCTAGCAACAAGTTGGTCCTATTTAACATGTATCTGACATAATTAGCAGCGTTGTAATTTAAGTTTGATTTCTGGTCTTCATTCACTGGGTACATGACAGAAGCGACCTTTGGCCAGTCTTGCTGTAGCTTCATCAGAGCTTCCTCATCTGTGGCTATAATAAGCACATTATCGTGTACACTCATATTGACTGTGTTACATAGCCAGCTATAGGTTAGTGACAGGTATCCCATGTTAACCATAGTTATTGCAACTACAGCTTTATTTTTTGCGATCATCAGTGCTTTTGCTTTGACTTCTACCAGCTCAGGTGGTAGGCTCCCCATCAGCTGTAATATCTTCTCTACTCGACTATCATTATTTGTCATAGGGAGTTGATTGTTGGTTTTGTGTCTTTTGATGTTTCTCGTAATGTTGGTGATTTTGTCAGTAAGTTCGTTTTTCCTATTTATGAGCTTGGGGTTGTTTGTTGCTTGTTTCTCATAATCAAATTGCAGTTGAAGGTTGTTTGTTATAGACATGTTGCTTGACATAGCGCCTGTATTAGTTCTCTCGTGAAAATGTGCTATCCGATTGTGCTGATTTGTTGTGCTATATTTACTGATATGCAATAGTAGCACTATTGAGATAATACATCCCATGCCCAATAGTATCAGAAATATCCTCTCTTTTTTTCGCATTTTTTTTTCAATTAAATCTGAAAAAAAATCAATCAGAAAAACAGTTTTCTGACAGCCATTTTAAAAAAACTTAAGAACAAATATTCATTATCTATCAAGAACAAATTATGGATCAGATTTTCTTCAATTTCATACACATTTAACAGATAAATACCAATTTCTACAGTTGATTTTTTTCTTGTTGTCTGGCAGCCAATTTTTTCAATATGTTATGTCACCCCATTATTTGAAAACCAATTTTTGGATTTTCTTCAAATCCGATCTTCTTCAGATTCACTTGTAGTCTATTGCTTTTTGATGTCAATCAAGCCATGTGCCTTATTTTATATTTCATTCATATTTTAACTTAAACATGAAGCCCTCAGACGGACGTATCAAATGACATGAAATGTGTTATTGATTTAGGTCACAATGGCCAAACAGATTATTAGAAAATTACACTATCATATCACATGATATAATGGACTATAATCTCTATGAGACTACCTCATTATATGATCTTTACATATATATTTTTCATGATAATGTAATACTCACGCGTGATACTTACGTAATTCACTGATCTGATTGATAAAATACAACGTAACAATTGCCTGTAACAATTAATATTGTTACAGGCAATGTAAATTCAATATAAATTGAATGCCTGTGTGGATTCAACTTATTTTAGTACAGGGTGAGCCAAAAAAGGTAACCCACACAGATCTTAATAACTCAGTCTTCAGAATGGGTATTAAGTCATATTTGGCACAATTGAGCCTTGTTCAATGTTCTACTAAACATTGGTCTATTCCAAAATGACCACGATTTAATGGGTATTTTACAAAACATGCTCCAAATGCCAAAGCATACCAAAATAACTCAATTTGAACCCCCAAAATTTTATCTTTTCGACTATTTCAAAGATAATATGTCTATTAACAGCCCAAGAAGCATCAGAGATTTGAAACAAGGGATTACGAAGGGAATAGAATCATTCCACAAGATATATGTGAGCGTGTAATCAAAAAAATTCATTCGATGCATTCGCGTTTGTGACAAGACTGGCATTTTGAGCATGTTTTTTAGAATGGCCATCAAATCCTGACCATTTGGAATAGACCAATGAAACTTAATAGAATGAAAGAACATTGAAAGAGGCTCAATTGTGCCAAATATACAATGTAAACCCTCACTGATATATTAAGATTTGTTTGGGTTACCTTTTTTGGCTCACCCTGTACCATGTTTTTATTGTGATGAAAATAATTTCTGAATGTTGTTTTCGTATTGATATGTCTGTTTAAATATATTTCAAAATTAGCCTTGTGTTACTGTAATCATGTCTAGAGCTCATAAGCTATTAATAATTATCCCAACAAACGAAGTTCGGTAGGGATATAGTGAAGCCCTCCGTCCGTCCGTTAGTCTGTCCGTCCGTCTGTCCGTCCGGAAGATAACTCAAATATTAGTTGATGGATTTTCTTCATATTTGGTGGAAAGATGTATATTGATGAATAGTTTTACGCAAGATGGCCGCCGCTTTAAAAATGACGGGACTTTTTCACAAAAATCATAAATTTTTCATTCTAAACCAAAGTAATTAATATTATTGTTTGAAATTTTGGTAGTATATTCGCAACATCTATCTATTTCACATATATTCCATGTTTTTCATCCTGACCCCCAGGGGCCGTGTATGGGGGGTCAGGAAAACAGAAATTTTCGCTAATTTTTAGATCTTTCTGAAGTATAGCTTTATTATACTCAAATGAAAGGCAATTAAGAGTAGATTGCAAATATTGTATCTTTTTTCTGATTCGAGCCTCGTAAAATTCAAAATGGCCGTCTAATGTACGATTTCGCAATACTTTTTCGATCTCTTCTAAGTATGGCTATATAATACTCAAATTGAAGGAATTTTGGAGTAGATCACAATTATGGTAATGTTTTTCAGATTGGTACCTCAGAAAATTCAAAATGGATTTTTTCAAGATGGCCGCCGCTTTAAAAATGACGGGACTTTTTTGCAAAAATCATAAATTTTACATTCTTAACCAAAGTAATTAATTTTATTGTTTGAAATTTTGGTAGTATATTCGCAACATCTATCTCACATATATTCAGTGTTTTTCATCCTGACCCCCAGAGGCCGTGTATGGGGGGGGTCAGGAAAACAGAAATTTTCGCTAATTTTTAGATCTTTCTGAAGTATAGCTTTATTATACTCAAATGAAAGGCAATTAAGAGTAGATTGCAAATATTGTATCTTTTTTCTGATTCGAGCCTCGTAAAATTCAAAATGGTCGTCTAATGTCCGATTTCGCAATAATTTTTCGATCCCTTCAACGTATGGCTATATGATACTCAAATTGAAGGAATTTTGGAGTAAGTCACAATTATGGTATTATTTTTCAGATTTGTACCTCAGAAAATTCAAAATGGCTGCTTTGCAGGAATTCGCAATTCTAAAATCTAAATTTTTCAATTTTAACCAAAGTAATGAGTATAATTGATTGGAATTCGGTAATTGATATTTTGTTCGTTGGGATTTGCTACTCCGCGGAGTTGCCATCATCTAGTTATATTAATAATTAATATTAGATCAATATTTATAGGTGTTTTCCCGATGTTCATCTAAAGGTTATCATACCATAACATACAAGGTTGAAATTTTCTATGTAAAGTATAAATCGCATCATTTGTTTCCACTGTCTCTCAAATTTTAATGAATGGAGATTTTTCAAATATTTTTTTCAATAAATCGTTCAGGAAAAATAATAAACACATCCAAAATTACATGTAATAACGTTTTTCTTTACCAGCAGTTAACCCGTCAGAATCCATTGAAATCTTTAAGTTGAAATCTTTTAACATTTTTTATTTCCCAGGAATAAGAATTGAACCATGGGATAGTAGAAAATAGCTTTAAAATGCTTTTCAGGCGCGTAACCAGGCATACGCGAGGGTACGCAGTCGCGTACCCTAAATGATGGAGCAAAAAAATAAACTGTTTTAAAAAATAAAAAAAGTAAAGCAAGATAGTTTGTTTCATGATCTTTCCTGGACTATACTTCCCTTCCAGACTCCAGACAAGTTAAAGTTTTCCATTCTGGTGGCATTTTTGTGTATTTTCCGACTCGCACTAAATAATTTTACCTGACATTTACCTTCTACCCCCAGCGACAACCATAAGTGTTCTCCCGGGCCAAATGGAGTATTTTTCACGGAAGTAGATTTCGTTCAGTGATTGAACTTCCGGTTTTGGCACATTTTTCAAAATTAGTCACGGTACGGGACAGTGCAGAACGTAATTTGGTGAGTTTTCTCATTATTTCTGGTATAAATCATCTTTATTAGCCGACGCAATTATTTTCAATCGTATACTACACCACTGTATAATCTCATTTCCTTCATAGTTTGACGTAATATTACCAAAATATTCCTATCAATGTAGACTGTCACTCCAGTCCAGCATTATTTTCAGTTTTTAGTAATGTTTCAATACTTCTTAAATTTCAGTTTCACCGTTGAAAACCCCCAAGTCTGTTTTTAATTTTCAGGATATGAAACGTGGCTCTACAATTGAATCATTTTTTCCTAAAGTTGCCAAGAAGAAAGATCCAACAGTGTCAAATTCCCCAGCAAATGCCAACCCGGGTGGTAGCAACCAAGAGGTAAATGATCCTCAAACAGAAGGGCTAAATGTTACAGAAAAAACAGAAGGACTAAATGTCCAAGTAAATACAGAAACCGAGGCGCGCCCTCAAAGGCCCATTAGGCCTAGGCCTATAGAACCCCCAAGGACAGTGAACACAGACACGTATATCGATCCTGTGACAGTAAAAATAACATCAAATGACGTGGATAAGTATAATCTCCTGACCTCCAACTGGCAGAATTTGCTGGCAACTTATAACTTTCCAAAGAATACTAAAAATCGTAAGTGTTCAGTAAAGTGGATGAGAGATTCTACCTGGCTATCCTACAGCAAATCTACAGATGCACTCATTTGCTTACCATGCCACCTTTTCTCAACGGGGGGTGGTCCCTCGGGTAACTTTGGGTCAGGGTGTGACTGGTCAAACATAGGCAAACGCCTGGAGAAACATGCATCTTCAGACATGCATAGATTTTCTCTGGTAAAATCGGTCGATTTTAAAGAAATAAAAGAAGGGGCAACTAAGGACGTTGGTGACTTTTTGGGTAATCATGAACATAGAATTGAAGAAATAGAAGACAGAAATGTGTCTATCCTTGAGTCTATTCTTGGAATCATTATAATGTGTGGTAAGCAGAACATAGCCATAAGAGGACATACCGAAGAGTCCAGTAACTTTAGGGCTATTTTGGAACTAGTTGCTGAAACAAATGAAGTTTTACGTGTGCACTTGGCGACGGCCAAAGGAAACGCTCAATATATTTCGCCAAAAATACAAAATGAACTGATAGAAATTTGTGGAAGCAAAATATTACAATCTCTATGCGACGAAATCAGACAATCTCAGTTTTTTAGTATCATGGCTGATGAAGCATCTGACAGTAGCAATACTGAGCAAATATCGATTTGCGTAAGATATTTAAAAACTGAAGATGACACTATTCTTGTGAAGGAAGAGTTTCTTGGGTTCTGTGATACTAGATCTACAACCGGAGAGACCATAGCCAACAAGTTGTTAGATACTTTACAACAAATGGGAATAGACTGCGAACAACTGAGAGGTAAAACATGATATTGCATTGAGGGGTGTGGTAAATATTCATTAATTCATTGTCCGTCAAAAACGTAATTAATTTACATTTGGGTGAAGTTATGATGAGAGGGTATTATTTTTGTGACGAACATTTAATTTTAATTTGCGATTGCAATGAGAGGAGTATTATTAGACTCTTTACTAGGTCAAAATTTTACTATTAATGTTTTTACGGGAATTCAAGCATTGGCCTAGCTCAAAATGATGCAACAAAAACTTTCCTTCTTGTGGACGCATTATTATAATATTTCTGAAATAAAATGGGTTGTTAATTTGTGCACAAGAAAGCTCATTTTATTTCCATGAGATTCTGAAATTCGAATGTCTGCATGTTTACATTGTTTTGATATTGTGTATTTTGGCAGGTCAAGCGTACGATGGTGCTGGAAATATGAGTGGAGCGCATCGTGGTGTACAGGCAAGAATTCGTGAGAGATACCCAAAGGCCCCCTATGTCCACTGCCACGCACACTGTTTGAATTTAGTGCTAGGGAAGTCTTGTAAAGAAGTACCATCAATAAGGAACATGATTGATATCGTACAGCAAATTGGTAAGTCTAGTCACAGTTCATCATTATTATAAAGATTAGGTCTATACGGTGAGAAACATTACTTAAAACGCATACATGTAAATAATCGCTCCATGTTTCTGCTCACTTGCATGCCCGGTATGTCACTTTTACTTTTACTTCATCAAGTAACAATTAATAAACGGTCAGACTTATCTTAATACATGATAGAAAAATTTAATTCTCATAATTATCTTAAAGTTAAAGTGAGTACATTATTTATTCAAGAAATAATTTTATTAGGAGAAATAAAACAGGTGTAATTTGGGAGTATGCTTTATGTGCTTGTATGGTCTTAATAAATACATATACTGTACATCCTATCATCGAATCTAATCACTATAAGTACTGAACGTTTCATACTGTAGAGGTATGTCTTAAAGACGTGGACACCTGTTACATTTAATTTCTTTCAGGTATCGCATTCGAGTACTCCGCTAAACGTTTGGTGAACTTCAGGGATAGTTTAGAGAACCATCCAGATGCACAGGCACGAATGGGTAGGAAAACAAAGCTAAGAATGCTATGCGAAACCAGATGGTCAACCAGGGCAGGTTCTCTTACAACCATGAAAGATTGCTATGTGGTCACCAAGGAATCTTTGGAAGATCTCGGCACTACTGATACGAAGGCAGCTGCACTGGCGATAGCAATGCAACGTTTCGAGTTCATAGTTGCATTTGTTGTTGCTGAGTTTCTGTTGTCTCATACAACCGGCCTCTCACTCTTGCTTCAGAAACCAACCCTTGATCTCCTTGAGGCCGTTAGAGAAGCTAGGGTCGTGCGTGACCTGTTTATCCAACTTCGTGAAGAAGGATGGGACGATCTGTACGCATCTGCAGTAGAGTTAGCAGCAACTGTAGATGTTGAGCCTATAATGCCCCGTCTTGCAGCTAATCAAAGACATCGTGCTAATCCTGGCGTTCAAGACATCTCAGATTATTACAGAGTTACAGTATTTTTGCCGTTTGTTGACTACTTAGTTGCAGAGATGGATGGCAGGCTTCTCCAAAATAATGCTAGATTTACATTCCAGCGCCTCGTGCCAACGAAACTGAGACACCTGACACCTGAGAACACTCAAGAAATACAAGATGAACTTGGGGACGACTACAACAGGGACAGTGATATTATAAGGGAAATTGAGAGATACAAACAGAGGTGGACCGATGTACCAATAGGTGACAGACCATCAACGCTAGAAGATGCGATACAGCAAACCAACCGTGTACTATACCCCAATATCTCCACTGCCTTGCGGCTGTTGTTGGTTCTCCCCGTCTCTACCGCAACAGCTGAACGCAGCTTCAGCTCTATGAGGCGTCTCAAGACTTATCTCAGATCAACTATGGGACAAACTCGTTTAAGTTCACTGGCATTGATGCATATTCACAAAAACTTTATTTTCGATAAGCGTGGAATTGTAAGAGAGTGGGGGGCAAGGGCCCCTCGCCGTTTACGCTTTGCATTTGTTTAAAGGCCCCACATAAAGTTTAAACCACTTTGGCGTATATTACACTCCCCTCCATAAGTTTGGCAACCTTAGCTCCGCCATTGAACTACGTGTTAAAGCCTCTTTATAATTGAATTTTTTATTTATTTAACCTCCGATGAAAAATATTTATAATATTGATGCGAGCGTAACTTGACTTAAATTGTGTACGGCAATATGCGATAATTGTCGTTCAAGTACTTTGTTGAATTATAGATTGTATTTCAAATCCTATCTATATCAGAACAATAGAACTTCAATTTAACTATTACATTTCTGGCGCAAAAGTACAAGATCAATATTATAAAATTACTTATGCAATCTCTGTCTCTTTTCAAATCATAACAGAACAATATTTTTACGTCACTTTAGAACAAGCTCAATCAATGAGGATCAGCTAGAAACGAAAAAAGGTTGTCCTCGTATCAAAATGGATCTTCTCCTATTCGTAGGAATTTTCATTTATCCATTTACCCACTTCATCATCTTTATTTAGTCTCCATTTTCTCGAACATAAGTGACGAATGATGATATCATTTAATGGGCAATAATTTGTCATGTGTGGTTTTATTTTACATGTATCACGAACAATGTATACAATCAAAAGTGCCCCATTACATAGTCTGATATCGCTCAGAACGCACCATTTAAGGTCTAAAATCAAAAATTTTCCGGGGGAGCATGCCCCGGACCCCCCTAGTTTTGCTCGGCCTTCGGCCTCGCGTACCCACTCCCAAAATCCTGGTTACGCCGCTGCTTTTTATTTGAAGCTTCTAGCTCAATTTTGATGGAAGTTGCATTGATTTTTGTAATATTCTAAATAAATCTTTTTTTTGGCTTGTTTATACCACAATTGCACCCCCCTGACTGAAACCCCCCCCCCCCTGACTGAAAGCTGGCTACTCCCCTGAATATACTGTTTTTTTGTGATATGCCCAATATTCCATATAATTGACCAACAATTTTCAGGGATGATTCTTAGTATGAAAATCCAGAACAGATTCGTTTTTTGGGCATTCTGGGTAAATGTCAAGGTTAACTGTGCGATGGATCAATATATGTTTGTTTTCATGATTACTTTTTATATTTAGGTTCCAAAGACATGTGAGAACTTCTTAAAGCTGTGTCAGAAAGGCTATTACAATGGGACCATATTTCACAGATCCATTAGGAACTTCATGGTGAGTTGAAAAGTTGTCGGAAAATGTCAAGGTTATGTTTTAAATCAACAATAGAGTGAATAGTAATGGAATTAGCAAGGTATTAAGTAATCAGGCATATAGTTAATACCCCAAATTGCATGGAAATGACAAACATAAGTAAATTATAGTGTAGTTCATTCAAATTTTAGAGAAAAATTTGGGAAATAGCATGACCTCATATTTTTTTCAAAATGTTTCTGACTGTATCTTCTGATCTAGATTGATCCATCATTTGCAAAATATACATAGTCTCTTCTTTCTTTCCTGAAAAAATAAACATAATTGAACAAGTATTTTTCAAGATATAGCTATTTCTTTGGGTTGCATTTTTTTTAACACCCTGTACAATGAGTTCAATTATTTATATTTTTTCCTATCCTTGTACAATTTTTCTGGTTGCATATTATTGCCTACACTCCCAATCTGAGATAACTGTTCCTAATTACAGTACATTAAGAGTGGTACCGTTCAAGTATGGTGTTACGTACAGTGTTCAGCTGTATGAAAATCAGTGTCACTCAGAAGTGCATTTTAATGTTAACATATGCAGGCATTACAGGGTGTCAAATAAATATGATATCCTTCTTAGCTTTAACATACACATAATGTTGCATCACTTTTTTGTCTGCATGATATCTGAGTTGTTCTTTAGCACATCAAAACTAAGCTTCATGGACCAGCTTCACAAGAAGTTTCAGATGACTAGCTCAAATAGATGCACTTTTATGCACAAAAGTTCACACTTTTGAAATTAAAATGAGAAGAACATATTTATTTGACACCCTGTATATACAAGCATCTGAAGCATTACTATTATCACATTTGTGAGAAGATTCTACCTTTTTTGATTCTCTGACGCAATATTTAACAAAAACTGAAATCTTTTGCAGCTTGACTGCGTTTTAGATTTTCCTCTTGAATATTATGTGGAGCATTTTGGTCATATCGCCTCTGCATGTCTCTAAGTTGCGAATATATATAAATGGGGCACTCTGCAACAGAGACCTCTATCTTTGGACTCCACTTACTGCGAGGAACGACCATGGGCTCAAGGTCATTAAGGCTACCATATTTTTCGCAATAGTCTATCATTTCATTTTGAATTTGTCTGAAATATTCAACTTCTGCAAAAAATCCAGATTCCCGGGGCTCCGAATTAATTGTATTCCAGAATGTATTATTGAAATGCTTGTACAATTTATAGTCGATATTACTATATTGTCTGTGTTTGTTTATCAGCTTCAAATTCTGGTTGGTTTTGTATTGATAGTTTCTCACACCACGTTTATGGTGAAGTATCTCTTTAAAAGTCCACTTAAATTTTCTTTTTAGCAAGATTAGAGACTCGTAGAAGTACTCCATTATCATCACAACATTTAATTTTTCTTCCAGCATCTTAAAGGCCTCTTCTGTTGCGTGCATGTTCATAGATGTAGTATCCCCATCCCTATTTGGGTATATCCCCAAAGTGAATGATTGTGGGTTACGAAGCAATGATACATTAGTTGGGAGACAAGAATTCCAACGCTCTGATAAATGCTGTGTTTCCAGGTTTTGTAAGTTCGAGAGAAAAGTTTTAAGACTGGATTCATCATTTGCCATATTTAGAATGGATGCAATACCTAAATGATTAAAAATTGATTTGAATTGATTGTATGGGTGACGCAGCATAGTTATGAATTTAGCATCCATGGGTGCAATTTTGTCAAGTTCATCGCTCAAAACAGTTGATTCAGCTATGATGTCATAGCCTGTGACCTTCAACGATTTTTTGATCCATTGTTCCTGTATCTTATATGGCCATCCAAGGGTTGTTTTCTTATGAAGAGGCAAAGCATAAGAGAAATTCCTAACATGACTAAATTTTTGAAATATTGACTGTAGGGTTTTGCTACCTCCCCTCATCATTGGTATGTATACAAATCGTGTCACCTGTGTTTGCGGAGAATTTGTCAATTCGTTATGACCATTTTTCTTTTTACTGATTTTGTTGAAATTCAGTTCATCAGTTTCATTGTTTATTTCCCCATTTCTGTTGACTATTTCAGCATTGCCATCATTTGTATCAATTTCATTTTGTATTTCACCGTTTTTATGAATTCCGTACTTGAATTCACCATTATCATTCACCATTCTTTTATTGCCACTATTCAGTGCACCATTATCATTGTCCAGTGCATTGTTACCCTTGCTAAGAGCATCATTTGCAATAGCCAAGATTCTATCAGCCATTGCAAGATTTTCATTGACATTATTTACATCATTTAGGATGATTACATTAGTGAATAAATACAATCCGAAAAATCCAATTAAAACTTTAATCACCTTCAGTGTCACTCGATTCATTTTGCATATTTTGGCGAGTACAATTCACTATCTTTTTAAAGGTTATTGAAATAAAATGTTTCAGTATCGATTACAAAGAATCTCTTATCATATTCTTTATAACTGACTTTCGTTTGTTGATTATGAAAATCTTGTTATCAATTAAAAACTATTCCATTTTCCTAGCAGCTTAACCTAGCGAGCATATTAATTCCGTATTAAAGAAAATTTAAAAATTAGTATTTTATCTCATCTTTCTTCATAAAATTGATTTATTTGCGACATATGTTTGTGGCATATCATTTAATGGTCATAGCAACTTATGTTCAACAAAGATTTGAAGACTTTTTATTGCATATAACTTATTATGTGAATTAATCACGGACTCGTACATTCTTTGGTTCAATTAATCAATTATAATGTATTACATTTAAATTGAAATCAATGTTTAGATTATTGATTAAAATTGCAAGATGTTACTTGGGAAAATGATTTTGAATTAACAGATGAAATTAATGAGAACATTTTGTTCAGAGAAATATTGGCATAATTAAAGCAAGTAGAAGGGGTAGAGAGTGAAATGTTGGATGCAATCTTCAAAATCTTGCCTGTTTCGTTTTTCATATACACCCCCAAAATGCAATCTGATTTTCGACGCCGTTTCGTTGCCAAATTTTGGTGCCAGAACAGCGCCGAATGTATTCGATGCCGAAACAGCGCCGAATTATATTGGCTGTATAATCGGTAATCTCCATTGATTTTTCAGAAAATCAAATCTTAATATCATTTGTTTCTCACCAAAATACATTTAATGGAAGGATGTCGAAAGGAAAGAGAGTGTGAAATGTTGGAAGCAATCTTAAAATCTTTTATCTTACATTCCTTTTTTTAAAAATACAATCTTGATATCATTAATTTTGTTTCTCACTAAAATACAATGAATTGAAGGATGTTGAAAGAAAGAATAGAGTCGAAAATATTGGAAACAATCATTTCATAACCAGTGATTTCAATTTTATCAACAATCTTGATAAAACACCTCCATATTTTTTTATATTTGCAGATCCAGGGTGGTGACCCTACAGGGACGGGAACAGGTAAATTAAATTACACAATATTAAATGAAAATATTTTAATGAAAAATTAATAAGAAATTGGCATATTTATCCAGTTATCTCTTAAGACTTACATTCTCTTCAATTTGATGACATATTGAAATATTGGCATATTGTTCCTTTAGTAGAACTTTGATTTAATATAGTATTTATTCAATTCACATTTTTTTAAAAGAGGGGAGAAATTGGCATATTTATCCAGTTATCTCTTAAGACTTACATTCTCTTTAATTTGATGCCATATTGAAATATTGGCATATTGTTCCCCATTGGGCACAATTTAAAAATATCTTTAAAAATTAATTTATTCACTAAAGGATTTAATTACATTAATGGAAAGGTTTCATAGGAAATTTAGTGATTTTTTAAGATTTTTCCATTCAGAATACGGGTATAGCTAGCCCAACCAACACAAGAGCTGCCATCTATTTATCCATGTAATTAGCAACTGATCAATTAGTATACAAATAGTGACTGCCATTGATGGAAATAGCGCAAATTATTTTTTCCCAAGGGTATATCCTGTCCACTGACATGTTCCCTAGGGGAAAATTTTTACACTATTTCCCGAAAATGTAGCAGTCACTATTCGTTTTATTATATACCCCATATGTACTCTGTAAACAAAAACAAAATGAGAAGTGTTTTCATTTCAACATTTAATGTTGACAGGTTCTTATTGGCATTTAAAGGTATTTTGCCTTTCAACTCCTATTATCTCAGCTATCAGGGAAGATAAAACATACTAATGACTGGTCACATGACCTAGGGATTTAGTTCATCTATTTCCTATCATGAATAAGCCAATGAGCATCTAGAATGCATATGGGGTATACAATAAAGTATAATATTACACAGTTGAGGTAGGTCAAATAGAACATTTTATGTCACATTTAAAAACTGAATTCTTGGTCCACCTTAAAGTGGAAATATTTTCTCTCTTTATAGGTGGTGAGTCAATCTGGGAAAGTCCCTTTAAGGATGAGTTTAAGCCCAATTTGACACATACAGGAAGAGGAGTTCTAAGCATGGCTAATTCTGGTCCAAATACAAACAAGTCTCAATTGTAAGTTGCATGTTTGTTTCATACTTTAGAGAGGAATGTGTCTCTTTGGTGTCATACATGTCTAACATGTTAGCACATATATGACATTCAGAATTCATTTTTCTGTGCTCATTATCAATGCTATGGGTACTTGCAGTTGCAACCCGCCAATTTTGATATTTAAACATAAAAATATGTATTTGTTATATTTTCATTTCAGTTTCATCACATACAGATCATGTAGGCATTTAGATCAAAAACATACTGTGTTTGGAAAGGTGGTCGGGGGTCTAGAAACCATTGATAAAATGGAGGCAGTACCGTGTGATAAAAAAGACAAACCTGAAGTAAGTACAATTGTGCTCATCCTCCTAAGCAGGTGTCCAGAATCCGTACCTCTTCACCCCTGCTATAACCAATTTAGAAGCACCCGATTCAACTGAATCACATGATCTTATAATGCGCAATGACTCATACATGATTTCTGTCGCAGTGTTGCCAATCAGATTGTGAGTTCTTAATCGGGGAAATGCCTTACTGCCTATCACAGGTGGTAAAAAGAAAGAATATATTCTGGATTTTGAAGCCCTGTGATCGGAGGTTGAATTGTGCTAGGCTATTAAATCAGCTCTCTAATTATATGTGATGAAAATCAGACAGGCAGTATTCTGAAATTGGCCCTATCTGTTAGTAGTCATTGCAGTGCTCCTTCCACCATTAGAAGAAATTGGCTCTGAACCCTGTTTATAATCTGAAAATTACAGGATACCCAATATATTAGTAATCTGCTTGCACATGGCGAAAAGGGTAAAAAATGTTGATATATTGATGAAAACTGGTATGGACCCAGGCTGTTGAGATGACAAGAGATAACTGAAGCGTCTACCAAAGTATATTTTATGAGAGCGTGAGGATTATTATTAAAAGTGAATAATAAAACAAATATCTCATTCTACTTTCGGTGAATACCTGAGCATCTTTCACAAGTTTAAACACTAGCATTCCCCGAAGCCATAAAGATGCACATGTATTCATATCAATTAAAATGAAATATTTGTACAATATTTTGTTATTCGAATTTCCAGAAAGAGTTGAGGATTGAGGCGTGCCAGGTATTTGTTGATCCTTATACAGAAGCTGATGAGCAGGTGGGTGTAGAATCAAATGTTATGTTAATGTTAGGCTTTGAACCATAAAGTTGAAACCATAGTACAGTAAAACTTGTTTAATCAAAACACCACTGGGACTAATTAAGTGTTCACATTTCAGATTGGCAGGTGTAATTTTTTTAGTAATTTTTTTGTAAAGTTAAATCAATAAAATATTCAAGAATCCTATTGTTCAATGATTTACCCTTGAATTGTTTTACTTCTATATTTAGCTCATTTGATGATTTTCATATTTCAGTTGGCCAAAGATCGTGCAGGGCAAGTTGAGAAGGAAAGACTTGAAGCTGTAGCAGCCAAACAGCCAGCAGCCAAAAAACAAGATAACAAACTAAAAACATTCAAACAAGGGGTTGGGAAATACATCAATCCTGCAATAAAGTAAGTTATCGATTCAAGCAGAAAGTTTTGTCTGTATGTTGTTTGAGGAGGAAGAATTGACAGAGGGCCATGTAATACATTGGAAGCAATCTTCAGAATGTGGGCATTTTTATTTTTCTTCAGAAGTAATAAATGTTGTGCTCTTGTGCTCAACGCTTTTTCCTTCTTTTTATAAAAAAAACTGTCTAAGTGAAACAGCTTTGGTACCTCTAAAAGGTGTTCCACTTGGGAGGTGTTACACTTAGGTGGTGTAACACTTATAAATGTTCATTTAGAGGTTCATTGAGCCAGTTGAAAAGTTCCACTAACAGAGGTGTTTCACATCTAGAGGTGTTCCACTTTACAGGTTTCACTGTTCTTTTTATTAATAGATTATCCTGCTATAGTAAGGTAATGGTAATACTTCCCACAGTTTCATATTGAACAAAGTAGTACAAATAAATATGCATTTTCTCCATAAGAAATGTAATACCAACAGAAATATTTTTACTCCATGTAATTTTGAATTTCATCATTTTAGGGCGCCATCTTTAGAACTCGGAGATGAACCAAGCAAAAAGAAGAAAAAGACAATGGCTTCAGGATTTGGCAATTTTAGCAACTGGTGACCCCTTACTACTTATACATCGGATACAAAGCTCTGCAAGTGTGCACTAAAGTACTAGCATATGGATTATATTCTGTGAAGTCTGCTTTGCATGAGAAAATGTCTGCCTCAAAGAATGTACTGTGAATTTCAATGGTTAAATATGTGAAAGTGACTGCAAATTCTCATGGGACAGGTCTTGAAAGGTGACTGTTTGGATAATGTACTGCAAATTTCCAAGAAAGATGTCTTGGGAAAAGGACTGTGAGGAATACCATATGCACTGCATAATTACAAGGTGATTTGGCAAGATGAAGTAACATGACAAAACATAACCACCTGGAAAAGTGTATCAATTATTACAGATGTTACATGCCAGTCACAAGAAAGTAGCAAAAATAGCAAGAAATGGTGACTTAATTATTTACTGTGAATCCTCATGAATCAACGTGAGAAAATGACTGTCAGATTATTTTCCACAAATTCATGAGAAATATGAGAAAGTGACTGATCTCAATAAGGCAACAAACAGCAACATGATGGAGTAAATAAACACTATAAGTTCTACTTCATTAGATTTCAGATTGGACCAGTATAATCATAGACACCCAGACCATAAATATGTGCTTCCTTGAAGTCTATATCAACATTTGGTAAATTGGAAGACTTTTTAAAAGTATTTTGATAGTCGGCTAATATAGTGAATGTTTCATCCAGCAGTCTTTTAAATTTATCAATAGTTTTATTGATTTGAATCATTGTCAGAAGACAAATTAGCACATCGCATGTAAATTATAAATGTACACTGAATATTCATCACAATAAATGTAGGATATTTTTCTATGAAAATTAATGATATTGTTGAAAATTTTAACATACAAAAATAAGGTCCAGGTACAGTACCATAGTGCGGTCTCCCATGTACTACACCCATCCCTTTCCAATTAATGTATTCTGATCCTTTTTGGTGAACTAAGAAAACTTAAAGGTATATAATCACTGGCGGATCCAGAAGCTAACAAGGGGGCCCACATTTCAAGTCGGGGAAAAAAATATCTGCGCTTGTGTGTAGAAAAGTTTTGGACCCCTAAAAGCAAAAATTGGGCCCCCCCTGGATCCACCAGTGATAATGGCTGGATTTTTGATGTCATACTTAAGATCAATGTTTCTGGACAAAATTGGAATTAAGATTTGAAAATTAGCAGTTAGTTAGTTCATTCTATTTCTGCCCTGAAACTATAAGAATGACATCATAACAGTAAGAATGACATCATGACAGTAAAAATGACATTATACCTGTAAAATCAGGTATAGGGCTTTGGTGTGTTAATAACGCATTAAGGAGATCACGTTACTGTTTTAATCCCACCTCCCCCTTATATAACTCTCTGAAGTTTACTTGCATCTTGGATTTGACAATTAGACGGCATATTCAACATTTTAATTCCACAGCAAGCAACATAAAAATATTCCATATCCAATGAGTGTGACGCACATGTGCCATCTATGTATCTCCCTTGGCGCAGTTGGTGAACGAGTCGCCCAATGTTAGAACTATATGTTCCGATAAAGTAGTCCGCTTGAGCAAGGAGAATTACATCAGTTATTATTTCATTGAACATATCTGTTCTTTTCCTTTTATATTTAGTTTCATTGTTATTGTATACAAAAGTAAAATCTGGATATTTTTCAGATAATTCTTTGAATATTTTCCCTTCATCAGAGGCGATGTACACTGATCTCCTTCCACCGGAACTATTTTTGTTGGTGAAATATTCCTCCGCTGTTGATATATATTTTTCTATACTTGTATAAGGAACTTTTTTGATTTTGTCCCCACGTCTAATATGTATTCCAATTGTGTTGGTGTTATATCCCAATCTGGTTTTTAATACTGACAGAGATTTTTCAAAATCAGGTTGAAGCCTAAACAAATATTTAGCATATTGACCGAGGCTCCAGATTTCAGGACATCTATGTGTATGTCTTAGCTTTCCAATATCCTCTTGGGCCAATGCTTGTAAACCATATGGTACAAACTTATCAAAATTTGTAAAATTCCAGCGAGGAAGCGTCAACTTTATTAATTTACTCTTATGAAACTCTGAACCTGATATATTAAATATTTCAGGTGTATTTCCCTTTTCACCCTTTGGCCATGTTCTATATGCATCAAAACTGATGGAATCCAAGCTGCATTTTCCACTAGGGGGTTGGAAATAATTGAACCAATCATCTGGAGCCATAGTGTCAACTTGGAGCACAAGAACACGCTTTAATTTCACCGCCATAGACAGACAGAACAGTATATGTTGCGTTATACTTCCAAAGCCCCATTTATTATCCGATTTCCAATGGCACATAAAGAATAAAGCCTCTTCACAATTTTTAGGATTCATAATCCGATAAATTTCATCTTGGAAATTTTTGCTGATTGTATAAAGTTTATCAGTGTGGTGCTCCATCAAAAACTGACGTTTTATTTGGCTGGCCTTTAATGACTGAGTGTGGAACACAATGTAGAATGTTTGCAAAATTGAAACTGTCGCAATAGATAAAAGGATATATGGTGTGTATTTTATGCAACTTATTAATTGAGACAACCTCATATCAATATCCTAGTTTTTCAAAATGCTTTATACACAATTTTCCTACTGAGTCAATATACAAGTTCCAAATAATACTAGGAAACAATCAGCTGGCTGTTTTTCAATAGTCAAGAATTGTATATCCGGGATCAATAATAGTCCAGAATTGTATATCCGGGAATCCAACATTTTTATTTTGAACCAATGTGATTTTTTAATATATTTTTAATCTTCCTGATTCCTCTCCTCTCTTTTTGCATTTTAAAAATGATTACCTGACTGTTTGTGTTTTTATCAGCGTGTGTTTAAAACATGTGCTGCCATTTTATTTATGAAACATGGCATGCAAAGTTAAAATTATACATAAATCAAAAATGACATCTTTTGAAATATTAAATCTATTCCACTCATTGCATGCTAGCATACGGTTTACGAAGATGACCGACCACCGACCAGTCACCCTCCAAAGTTGGATCCACGTGGTCATTGGACTGGTTGTCTTCTACTAAAAATGAATGGATGCAGATTTGAGAGAGAAAACTAAAATCTGAGAATCAAATAGCAACAAAAACTTTACAAAGTCATGATTTAAACATTTTAAATCACGGTGAAAATGCAGACAAAAAAGAAACATCGTCAGTCTGCTTTTTAACTCAGTAATAGGTAATGCCAGTAATGCACCATTCAAAAGTTTGCGTGAGACCCCCCCCCCGGCCCCACGCGGGGAGGGTAAGGAATTTGATACACAATATTGCCCCCAGGGGTAGGAATTTGACGAAGATTGTCGTCCCGGGGGTGGGGAATTTGATTTACATGTGCCCGGGAATGGGGACTTTTGACTGAATCAGTTTCGTCCAGTATACCCTTTATGAGTCTTGGAATTTGCAAATGATCGGTAAATTCAGTGAACTAAAGATCGCTCATATCGGGAACAGGCGGAAAAAAATAACTCGTCTACACGTTGGGTATAGTTTCAGGGCACAGTGAGCACCATCAATCTTCATTATTCAGTTATAAAACTGAAAGTACGGTTACTCTTTTGACTTCCGGTTTGGACTCCCGTTTTTGTGAAGTCATAATCACTGAGTTTGTGTACATTTCACCTTATTTCTTAGTTTCAGTTGAGTCTCAATACTCTGCTTTGCTCTTAGCATTATTTTGATACTTATAATATGGTCAGAATCACTCAGTTCAAATCGCAGATATTTAACTTGAAGCACAAACTTCTTACTTTTTTAGGTCAAAACTCCACATATGGACATGACCTCATATCTATTTATAGATCGCCGAGAAATGTTAAAAGAAAAATTTTCCGACAAGTTACAAAAATATGAACATTGAATAAACATAAAATATCACTGATCAAAGCCCCTGGCACGAGAAAAAAATAATTTAGAATTTTCTTTTTTTCTATGTTACCGGACTTCATTATGTTATGTTAGATATTAGATAGATGGTGCTGACTATGTTTCAGGGGTGGAATCGCCGTGAATAACCGCTGGAGAGAAAGGAATTCTTGAACACTGAGCAGTGCAGTGTCTTAATTATCGGTTAGTCAAGCTTGTTTTCGCCCTCCCTTCGGAAAAATGCACTTCCGCGTTCTACTTATATTTATAAACTCGTCATAATTTAATTGATTTAATATAGATGATTAATTTAATTTAAAATTAATTTTTGAAAAATTTTACGTTTGAACAAATTTTTATTTTATTTGATATGATGAATAAAACGGAGGGAGGTAACCTATTAAAGTAAAAAGCCATTACCTTAGAATACGTCATTGCATAAATTACAAGAGACCTTTCGAAAATTGCTACGATTGTGGATTTGTTCCCGACTTGTACCCATCAAACGCGACAATCCGCTCGCCTATTCCACAAAAATGATCGTTCATACAGGTATGTTCTCCTCTTTTGTTGAACAGATACAAACCAAGGGTAAAACCATGTCCCTCTCGGCTCATTTTTGTCAAAACTTTCAGGCAGTTTCCCTCAACATATTTACGAGCATCAGTCTAAAACAAGGAAATCTGATGTTTAAAAATATATTTCAAATTGTGGAAGGACTCGGGGGTCGCGAATACTTGACCAGATTTATTGCTCCGAGGGTAGGGAAATTGACACATTTATTTGGCCCCGGGGTAAGGAATTAGACAGCGCCAAAATTTTTTGTCAAATTCCCCACCCATGCCCGCGTGGGGGGGGGGTCTCACGCAAACTTTTGAATGGTGCATAAGGCCCATCTGGTGAAAGAGATGGACAATAATCCCTGTGGGACTATAATACCAGTCAGACGACCGGGACAAAGTAGGCCTTATGCTGTGAAATAATGAACCGAGTGATACATTTAAAAGCTCGGTTCTACACAATTAATATGTATTTGATGACATCACCCACTATCTGTCGGTGACATTAATTAACACTAACAATCATCATATTAAATTGACCGTTTGATCTCCTGGTACACAAAGTCTGAAAGACTGAAAGAATTATTCCTAGTGTCCAAACCGCTCAGTGATTTTTTTGTTGAATTAGAATCCAAATGAATTCATAATATTAATATGTATTTGAACAACTGGCTTTGTATAAAAAAAACTCCTACCTCATGCCCACCTAGCCACCTACGTGGAACATGATACAGTCATTGAAGGGTTCAATTTTAAAGATTATTAAATCTCAAAATAGCTCAAATTATTTCTACAATTCCGGCTTTATTTTATGACAAGACAGATGACAGATCCATAAATAAAGGCATATGGATGCATTTTAATGTGTTATGTCCCGAGTTTTTGATAGATGGCGTCTACAAATGTAACGACATAAAAAATCTGTGCTGAGGGATATGTGAATTTTGTCTTATCTTAGTGCTAATAAGTCATAAACAAGTATACTCCAAGCTGTATGAACATTTGGTGAAACTATCTTAATCGAATATTGTGTCAAAATGGCAAGTAGCAACTCTAAACAGACCAAAATTGGTTCATTCCTCGTCGAGGAAAAGGAAAATGGCCGCCATTCAAAAAACGACGATGACATGGCAAAACCGAGAGCTTCAAAGAGACGTTTAGCCGGAAGCAGTAGCAGTAAGTTTAGTATACCTGAAGGCTCTGATTCTGAAGATTTTCTAAGTGAGAGTGAATATGACACTTTTGCTGATTCTAATGAAATAGACTCAAGTGGCCAACCCACCAAAAAATGGATCGTCAAACTATTTCAAAAAACTCTCCTACAACATGAGGACGAAATGTCTAAAAGGATAAGCAAAACTGTAAATAAAGCAGTGACTCGGGCCCTCCAGTCTACACAGACTAGGGTGACCAAACTGGAGGAAGAGAACGCCACTCTGAAAGTAACTGTGAGTAGTCTTGAAAAACGTATTGATCAAATAACTATCGATGTTAATCACAATGCCCAGTATAGCCGCAAAAATACAATAAGAATACTTGGAATCCCTGAACTTAGCCCAAACGATATAAGAACTGAAAACTGTATCCATACTGTTTCGACAAATGATGACATTATCAACAATCTCCCCGGGCTGTTTTCGCCTGACAATGTAGAAGTGGCTCACAGAATTGGTAGATTCTCAGCTGAGCATGCAACCAGGCCACGACCTATCATTATGAAATTCAAATTTAGAGACTATAAGGATGAAGTCATCAGAAAACGCAAGGCTCTGAAGGGAACTAACATTATTGTGTACGAGGACCTAAGCCCAGGGAATCGTAAATTGCTCTATGACGTAAAACAACATGGACTGGTTGAAAGTGCCTGGTCATCAAATGGGAAAATCTTGGCGAAGCTCAAACGGGGCGACATTTTAAGTTTTGGAGTCACTGATGACATTGACTCCCTGATCCAACAGACCCTGGCCAATCCTGGTGGGCAAAACCGACGTCCTTGGTCGTACAACAGACCCCCGGCAACAACTATCACAACTACTGAGGTAACCAGCGCTGTAGCAAGTGCAACTAACACTGACTAAAACTATTGTCACGAATGATTGTCCGAGGGCAAGTATTACTCTGAACATTTTCCAACGGATTCAAATACAAAATAGTGCTACTGAATCCATTCTAAAACATGACTTTTTTACACAAAAATAGAGTATGAACCTCTGTTAGTACACCTAAATTGAATATCATACTTATAGATAATTAAAACTTATCAAAAACTGTGTTTGAAAAGTACCATCTTGGTGCAATATTGAATGTACACAAGTGTACATCTTGATAACCTAACTGTACTTATTGTTTACATCGAATGCGCATGCGCGCGGTCATACAGACTGTACAGAAACATAACCCGCTTGCAAACTGCAATGCTTGTTCGTATCACTGAATGTCTGGTTTGAAAGGACTGTTTTGAATTCAAGGTACGTGTATATAGTTAGTAATAAGATTATTGTTCCTTGTCGACTCGTATATGTTATATGTGTTGTTTCGGAGCGACTCATTTGTACAGTATGTGTTTGGCTAATGATTTGCACACAATTACAGACCACTAGCACTTACAACCCTTCCATAGAGGCATCGACCTGATTATCACTCTTTATTTAGTAACTGTACTTTTAAATTTTAGAAAGTTTTTGAGTCTATAACAGAGATGCTGCTCTTGTGAGCTATTACTAAATGGTAAGACATGTCGGCGAGGCTCTGTATCCTTCGCCGCCAGGTTAACACCACAAATCATCGCTCTTAGGTAGAGGGAATTGTAAGTGGCTATTGATCTCAGGGTAACAAAACTTGATCCCTCAAATACAGTCTATGAAATAACATGACTGAAAGTATAGTATCTCATTAAACTTACTGCATTCTTATCCTTGTAAACCAGATGGGACAATATTGCTAAATATACCTCAAACATATACTCTGTTTCGTCTCCATAGATACACTTGATCATGAATGACTTAGAGTCTATTGAGTTTAGAGATTTGATGTATTAGTGGCCCCTTTCTCTTGTATAAAATGCAACCATGATAACTGTATAAATGTATATCATTTGTGAGAAAGGGTTGACTTTAATTTTAATAATTTTTTTAACTTTTAATAATTTACTACTGAGGGAAAATTGACCAGTTTAGGTAAGGAGTTTATTGATATAAAATAAAAGTACATTTTCAGACCTGGTTTTGCATCATTGGATGTGTGAACAGTAAACAGTGAACAGTCTGTAAATAATTATTTTCACTATATACTTGTCAAAGCAGATTAATTGCTTGGAATTATGTATGTTTGATCTGACACAGTAGTGATTGTCTTTTATTTATATATTTATATACTCTCTTATTTATATTGACTTAACATATGTCTTCTCATATCCCTCTCCACACTTCGTGTACATGGAAAATTCCATGGGACACCATCACTGTACTGGGGCAGTGGCAGGCAGGTCGGGGCTTGGGACTGGGGCTGGGGTGATAAGACAGGGGGTAGGATAGATCCCGTCCAACAGTGGAGGGTGACTATTGGTCTATTTAATTTGAGACACAAGTTATCTTGCAGCACCTCAAACAGAGAAGCAACATCTCCTGTCCCACCATTTTACCAAATCTATGAACAGATAATGCCTCCCCTGGCTCTATACATGAGTCTATATATCTTTTGGACCTTCGTATATCCATACATGACTTTAGTGTTTTTACTCTTCTTCTATCTTATTGGCTTCATGACAACTTGCATTATTCCCCTGCTTGTGACTGTTTACCTTATTAGGTCCCACGTTAAATCAATGATAAGTACCTATTCTATTATTCTGATTACCAAAATCCTGTTAACATCCCTTTTGATACCTGGATTGTGTATTGTAACTTTTATTCCAAATATGAATATGCTGTTACTCCTCATAGCAGGGGATGTTCATCCTAATCCAGGACAAAATAATTTGACATTTCTGTTCTCAAACATTAATAGCTTGACAGCCAATAACGGCCTAAGATTTGAATCCCTAAAACTCAGGGTAAATGAAATTAACCCAAGTGTTGTCGGCCTCTGTGAGGCCGGTATCTCAAAAATAAGGATGGATTCTGGTGACTTTGACTTAAATGATTACAATACATTTTCTAGTGAACTTGGCAGGGGTCTGGTCCTTTATATCCATAACAGTATAGTGACCAAGGCATTTAAACCTGGTGATCTTAATTTAAATGGGATTGATGCCCTTCTTTTGACTATCATTGTGAACCATAAAAGAATCCTTATTGGCTCATGCTATAGATCACCGAGCCAGAATGCCACTGAAACGCGTAATTATTTTTCTTCATTAAACAACTTACTTGAACAAATAGAAAGGTACCGACCATCCTTTGATCATGTTATTTTGATGGGTGACCTCAACGCTAAACATTCCATATGGTTTGACAACCAAGATACCAATCTTGCAGGGACAAAACTCTTGGAAACCTTAGATCTTAATGACTATGTTCAAATTATTAACGAACCAACTAGAATTACTGACCATTCCAAATCATGCATAGATCATATTTTGACCAACTCACCTGATATATTTGACCACTTTGAAATATGTGACCCTATAGGCATGACCGACCACAGCACTATCACTGCACAAATAAAGATTGGAGTAACCAAATCCAAACCTATAAAAAAAACTATTTGGAAATACAACGAAGTCAACTTAGAAAATCTGAACAACGCAATCAGGAACACAAACTGGTTACATATTTTAAATGAGAATATAGACTTAGATTTGGCTACCTCTAACTTTATGAATAAACTCATGGATATATACAAATCCAGAATTCCAAATAAAATTATAACTGTTCGGTCAAATGATCAGCCATGGATCACCAGTACACTTAAAAAAGAACTATCGAAGAAGAAAACACTTTACAAGAAATTTTCCAAATCTCCCTCTCAACTTAATAAATTAATATATGACCAACAGGCAACTAAAGTTGCCCAACTTGTTGAACAAGCCAAAATAGATCACGAAAAAAAAACCTTATCATCAATTGACCAGCTAAATAAGTCCGATAAAAATTATTGGAGAATCATCAAATCATTTTTAGGCACAAATTTGACGAAAAACAGCATATCTAGCATTTATGATGAAATTACTGGACACGCACTTTCAAATAACCTTGATATTGCAAACAAATTCATGAACTATTTTGCTTCTAAAAACCATACAGATGCCTGTTTTGACCATTTGCCTCTATTCCCTATGAGGACAAATTCTTTACTCATTTCCGCTAAGACTGACCAATTTGAAATTATGAAAATAATTCTCTCCTTAGATACCTCCAAAGCATGCGGGCCAGATAATATCACTAACAAAATGTTGAACCTTACAGCCCATACCATTTCAAAACCTCTTACCATATTATTTAATAAACTTCTAACTAAATGCACTTATCCAGATATTTGGAAAATAGGCAATGTTTGTCCAATCTTTAAAAAAAATGATAAATCAAATGTTAATAACTACAGACCTATCACCTTGCTAAGCTCCATATCCAAAGTTTTTGAAAAGGTTCTTGCTGACAGAATCAGAAAACACTTACTTGATAATGATCTTCTTTTTAAGTATCAGTCCGGATTTTTACCTGGTCATAGCACCATTCATCAACTTTTATCTATCGAGCATTTTCTTCAAACTACTTTTGAACAAGGACAAGCCTCCAAAACAATATTTTTGGACGTAGCCGCCGCTTTTGACCGGGTTCCGCACTCGTTACTCCTCCATAAACTCAAGGCGTATGGTTTTCAAGGTCAAATCCTTAAAATGATCACATCTTATCTTACCAACAGGAAAATTGCTGTTCAAATTTCTGGTGAGACCTCCAATTACTCAGAAACTAATTTTATAAACTGCGGTGTCCCACAGGGCTCAATACTAGGGCCAATACTTTTTCTAATATATGTTAATGACCTTCCAGACAATCTGGATGGCCATTGCTACATTTATGCAGATGATACCTCATTACACCATCCTTTTGACCCAAAACAACCACAACAAATAGAAGCAGTGGTAAAATCCAATCTAATTAAAGTAGAAGAATGGTCTAACACTTGGAAACTTGATTTTAAACCGGAGAAGAGTTCCGAGATGATTTTTCACTCACCTAGAACAAAAACTGATAATGTGTCAACTTCAAAACTAAACAATATAGAAATCAAAAGAGATACCGAGCACAAACATTTAGGACTCATTTTTGACCCATGTTTATCTTATGATAAGCATATTGGTGATTTACTAGTCAAAATCAGAAAAATGTTAAACCCATTAAAGAAACTCAAATTCAAGCTTGGGAGCAAGCACCTAGAAACAATCTTCAAATCATTCATTCTTCCTCACTTTGATTATGGTGCCATTTTATATGGCACAGCTTCTAAATTTCTTCTGCGAAGACTCGATAGTCTATATTACACAGC